GTTTGCACAAAATATTGGGTTAGTATTTAAACCAGCCCCTATATATATATATATATATATATATATATATATGTGTGTGTGTGTGTGTGTGTGTATGTGTGAGCGCGCGCGCGAAATAACATAATCATATAAAGTAAAATGTAAGAACCCATTTACCTCGATATAAGCTTGAATCAAGAAGCTTGAAGTAGAGAAGTTTAAGCTTGAGACAAAATGAAATAGATAAATTTGTTTCAGATCCAAGGGAGTGACTTGGAAGTTTCACAAAGACCTGGCCAAGGGATGTTGCAGCCATAGGTTCTGGTGAGATCTCAGTGAAAAGTTGATGTAATGGTGACCCAAATTCTTTCTCAATCGTTCTAAATGCAACTTCAATGGGAAATGGTGAAATACGTAATTATTTTACAACCGAAACATGAAATGGAGGTAAAAGGGATTGCACAAAAGGTAGAGTAAGCTTACAGGTCGAGATGAGATAGCCTGCTGAAAGAAAATGTGTGAGAGACAGAATATTAGTTGATACTTCTTTATTTGTGTATATATAGCTTGCAAGTTACTAATAAATCAGGACGCATAAAGATACAAAAAATAGATCTAGAACTAAAATTGTCAGAAAAATTCAACGGTGTGGCTTATAATCCTTCATAAATGGATTATCTTTTTACAGTACCAAAGGAAATTTGTGTTAGAACACAAAGTATGAAGGTATAGCCTACTGCAACTAATATAAAAAAACACATTAACTTCATAGATGATTACAACAGTAATAAAAAAACTGATCAGATATTTATCAAAGAATCTGTTGGTATATATAGTTCACATCAAATTAAATTTACAAGTTCTGAAGTCATCATCTTCTTAGATCTTTTAAACCTAACCATCTACGATAATTACTAATGGAACAATTGTTGTTAAGTCACAATGGATCATAAGCATTGCACGTGGTAACATTTTGCTATAGTAGACAAAGCACAATTTTATATCTATGCTTGCAAATTGGCAAAACCACATATGAGAATAGTTGGATTTATCAAAGAACTAAAAAGATGAAAAACATGAACGAAGAACTAAAAAGATGAAATCTTAAAACAAGCTAATAAAAAATCCAATATAAACTCAAACAGAAACCAATCTTCAGATCTAAAACACAGCAATCTAAGCATCAAATAGGAACATGTACTCCCCTAGTATATATACATACATTCAAGAAACCAATCAAATTGTAATCCCATCTTAAAAACTTATAATTAATTTAAAATATATCATACCCATTATAGGAAATTAAAAGAGATTGCTTATATTTCTTGTTCTTAATCAATTGTAATTATCAATCAAGAACATTGACTTCTAGTACTCAAGAAAATACCTCATGCCCAGACTCCCAGATGATGAACTCGCTTGATTGTTTCCATCTTTGTAAACTCCATCGATGAAGATCAAACAACTGTGATTTTGCATCGGGTATCCATAAAGATTAAAAAGTATGCTTACATTCATACGTAACTACGTACACATAAACATATGTGTATATATATAAATAGCATGAGAGATGGATGTACTTGGAAGGATGAGAAAGTGAGACCAACCAAGTAGTAGAGTTCTGTTAAAGATGGTGTGTATGATAGTGAAGATGGGAAGGAAAATGAGTTTGATTAAATTTTGGAAGAATTCAATTTTTGAAGAACTTCAAGTCATATTTATACTACTGATAATTGCAAGGTCAGCAGCCGTGTGCTTTCTTTATGCCTTTAAATCTCAAATTAAAACCTATATCTCCTTAAGGTTTACAATGAGTATGCACATCAACTACATAGCTTCCCTTCAAGTTTAAAAGTATGTACGCAAGAGTTGTTGTCATAAATCAAATCTACAGCAAAAACTCACACTTATATGTGCATATCATCTCATATTTTCTTGGTTCGCAATGAGTGTATTGCAATAGCTATAAGGTTACTAGCATAGTGTAATAGTTTGTAATAAAAAAAAATTGCTTTTAGGCATTCAGATCTCGTCAAAACTTATTAGATTGGGTGCGAAATGTAGGTCATTCTCTTGGCTATGTTATTGTCATTAAGAGATCGATGAGTATCTCGAGCGGAAAGATCCCTAGAGTAATATTTCAGTGTGATCGTAGTGGCACATAAAATCAAAGAAAATATCTACAAGGAATCATGGCACCAAAAAGATTAATTGTCCATTTGGGTTGGAAGGGAAATATTTGCCGGTCGATGATTGTTGGACGTTAAGGGTAATATGCAAAATACATAATCATAAAACTGCGTTATAT